GTGGGGTGTGGCCTCCTTTCCTCTGAGCTTTCTCGACACCTCAAACTCCTATCATTCAGCCCTTTATCTCTCCAAGCTTTCAGCACAAGCCTCTCCTCCTCAGCCTTCTAAATAAATAAACAACACCTACACAGAACACTGCCATTTTCTGTAAGCTTTTCTCGCCCTTTAAAAATTGCAGCAAAATATACATAGGACAAAATGTATCACTTAAATCTTTTTAAGTATACAATTCAGTGCTGTGATATATGTAAGACAAAATGTATCATTTAAATCCTTTTAAGTATACAATTCAGTGCCTGTGATATACATAAGACAAAATGTATCATTTAAATCATTTTAAGTGTACAATTCAGTGAGGGTGATATACATAAGACAAAATGTATCATTTAAATCTTTTTAAGTATACAATTCAGTGCTGTGATATATGTAAGACAAAATGTATCATTTAAATCCTTTTAAGTATACAATTCAGTGCCTGTGATATACATAAGACAAAATGTATCATTTAAATCATTTTAAGTGTACAATTCAGTGAGGGTGATATACATAAGACAAAATGTATCATTTAAATCTTTTTAAGTATACAATTCAGTGCTGTGATATATGTAAGACAAAATGTATCATTTAAATCCTTTTAAGTATACAATTCAGTGCCTGTGATATACATAAGACAAAATGTATCATTTAAATCATTTTAAGTATACAATTCAGTGCCTTTAAGTCCATTCATGATGTTGCAGTTGTCACCACCATCCAGCTCCGGAACTTCTTAATCATCCATGCTTTTGAATCCACAGTCTCATAACATTTTATTGCCGTCCTCATTGTCAGGTGAGGACGCTGAGGCTTTCTTCCTAACCTTGCTTTTGTGTTTTCTCTTTAACACTTGCAGTCTGGCTTTTGCCCGTGGCTGTCCCGGAACTGACCCCCTCAGGCTGTCAGAGACCTCCCGGGGGCTGAATTTCATGGGCTGCTTCCTGGTCTGGTCTTGTTTCTGGTCTGCAGCATTTGACAATCTTGCTTTCCAATCTCTCTCAGAAATTATCTCCTCCCCAGGTTTCCATAACACTCTCTCTCGAGTTTCCTACTACTAATTCTTGGGTGTTTTCTTGTTCTTTTCTTTTCATGTTTTTCTGTTTATTTGATTGTTTTGTTTCTTTCTGTTGTTTTGAGCTGGAGTCTCGCTCTGTTTCCTAGGCTGGAGTGCGATGGTGCGATCTCGGCTCACTGCAACCTCCACCTCCCTGGTTCAAGTGATTCTCCCGCTTCAGTCTCCCGAGTAGCTGGGATTACAAGTGCCCACCAACCCGCCAGGTTAACTTTTTTGTATTTTTAGTAAGAGATGGGTTTTCATCATGTTGGCCAGGCTGGCCTCGAACTCCTGACCTCAGGTGATCTGCGGGCCTCAGCCTCCCAAAGTGTTGGGATTACAGGTGTAAGCCACTGTCCCTGGCCTCTTCATGTTTTAAAATTAGTCTTCCCTTTTTATTTTACTTTACTTTATTTTATTTTATTTTATTTTATTTTATTAATAGAGACAGAGTCTCGCTATGTTGCCCAGGCTGGTCTCAAACTCCTGGACTCAAGCAGGATCTTTTCTTCTGGCTTCTTCTTCTCCTGGCTCAGGAACTCATCCTCACTCCCTGTGACGTTTCGATAACCACTCGCCTGGTTTCCCTGCCTCTGGCCTTGCTGATGAGACAACTAAGATCTTTCTGCCAGGGAAATGTGATGCTGCCCTCAAGTCTACAAGGGCAGCCTGAGCTGACAGGATAACATCTAACCTCCTTAGTTAGATATAGGATGTCCCTTGTCATCCGGCCCCCGGTGACCTCTAACATTATCCCCACCCCACCCCACCCCTTTACAGTCTGCAGTAGAATCGTCTGCAGTCCTAGTGCTGGAAGCCCAGGCTGCCTCCTGCCTCCCTGTCTCTGCATATGTGGTCGCTTTATCCTAGAACTTAGCATGTAGTTGCCTGTGTGCCCGTCTGTCTCCACAACAGGGCAAGGTCCTGGGAGCGGGGGTGAGGGGCGTGGGGGAGGTCTTGCTTGTCCTCTTTACGTCTCAGTGCTTAGTGTACCTTATATTTGGACAATGAATAAATATGTGCTGCTCTGGAAAAGAGATCAATGTCTCGATGGAGTGGAAATCACTAAGGGACAGAGCAAGGACTGGAAGTCAGGTCTTGGAAAGTTCTGACCCTTCCCACTATGTAAACATCCTTTCTACTGAGGGACCTCCCGGGGTGACAAAGCCTTGGAGGAAATGCATGCAGTCTCTGCATGGTCCTAAAAAAATAAAGGAAATAAAGTAAGTGTTGTAATCCTGCACTGAGTAGAGAGACTTCTTACCGGGAGGCATTTTAAGGAGGGTGGAGAGGGGGATGCTCTCCCTGCCTCCCGGTCACAGTCTACAGGAGCTTGCTGCTTCAGATGCGCTCACACGGGACCGAGAGGCAGGCAGGCGGAGTGGTGCGGCTGAAAGACATCTCTGCATCAGAAAACTTGAGTCCCGGTTTTTTCTAGATCTGCCACTGACTGGCCAATCTCAGAAGGCCCAGCAGCCTTCATGTGTAAAACAAACGGGGTCGTTTCCATCTCTTTAAACCTGAAAATCCAGAAAGTGGGGACATCTGTGTTTAAAGATTGTTCAACATTTTTCAGATTAAACTGATCCACATTTTCCAAGGTATCAAAGTGGTGGCTGCGTCCTCTCATGGTGCTGGGAATCACAGACTTCTCCCCTCACCCTTGACCGTGACCTGATTGTAGAGGATTGTTGCTGATAGAAATGTCCAAGATAGGCCGGGTGCGGTGGCTCACGCCTGTAATCCCAGCACTTTGGGAGGCCGAGGCAGGCGGATCACGAGGTCAGGAGATCGAGACCATCCTGGCTAACACGGTGAAACCCCGTCTCTACTAAAAATACCAAAAATTAGCCAGGCATGGTGGCAGGCACCTGTAGTCCCAGCTACTTGGAAGGCTGAGGCAGGAGAATGGCATGAACTCGGGAGGCGGAGCTTGCAGTGAGCCGAGATCACGCCACTGCACTCCAGCCTGGGCGACAGAGTGACTCAAAAAAAAAAAAAAAAAAGAAATGTCCAAGATATTCAAGGGGCTTCTCTAGAGGAAACAACTTCAGTTTCACTCTTGATTCTCTAGGGGAAATATAACTTCCATTTCACTCTTGATTTTTAACTATTTTCACGTTATGAGTTGAGATAAATGGCCTTAGAGTTGATTCATCGAGGAGAGAGTGATGCTGCCTAGCGTTCTGTGAAAGCTGGCTGTACTGAGCGAAATGCTAGGTCACTGCAGGGAAGGAAAGGGAAAAGAAGTGGGGAGAGAGAGGGGCAGGGAGAGGGACAGGGAGATTGGTTTCCTTTTACAAACCCAGCTGGTTTCCTCAGTAGTTGTGTGTGGTTTCCACCAAACCCACCTATCACTTAGTTAGGACTGCTAATTAGCGGGCAGAGATGAGGACTGCTGTCTGTAGCCCTAAGGATGGTTATTAACCAGGAGGCTGAGCTGGTGGTTGCAGCTGACACTGGAAATTCACCCGGCTCCGCCCCCCAGGAGATGTCCACCCCCATATCCTAGGCGGCTGTGGGCCACAGGCATTTCATTCTCCAAAATCCTACATTCATCTGACTTCATTTAATATTTGCAGCCACATAAGAAGTAGAAACATAACTTAATTTCCAGATTCGAAGACTGAAGTTTGGACAGAAAAAATAACTTGCCCCGTGTCACCCAGCTGGCACACGGAGGAGCTGGGATTCAACATCAATGACTCCAGGACCACGGTCTGTCTCCATAAGACAAGTATACCCACTTCGATTCTCCGCCTGTCAGGCCTTCTCCATTTTCCCACCTGCTAAATAAATCACACCTGGTTCCATCTCTCCTTCTTTCCTCCCCTAACCCATGATTCTTTGTTGTTGTTGTTGTTGTTGTTGTTGTTTTGGAAACAGAGTTTTGCTGTTGTCGCCCAGGCTGGAGTGCAGTGGCACGGATCAGCGGCTCACTGCAGCCTCTGCCTCCCAGGTTCAAGCGATTCTCCTGCCTCAGCCTCCCAAGTAGCTGGGATTACAGGCACGTGCCACCAAACCCGGCTAATTTTTGTATTATTAGTAGAGATGGGGTTTCACCATGTTGGCCAGGGTGGTCTTCAACTCCTGACCTCAGGTGATCTTCCCACCTCGGCCTCCTAAAATGCTGGGATGACAGGCGTGAGCCACTGCGCCCAGCCATATCCCATGACTCCGTAAAGCACTCTGTGGTTGTTTCTGGGTTTTTTTCACTTCTTCAACTAGGAGGTAAGTTTTTTGGGGTCAAACAGCATGTTTTCTACTTTGTTTTCATCCTATCCCAAATTGCCTGGTACCAATCTGGGCACATAAGACGTGTTTGGTAGTTGATGAGCCAACAGGGAACCCACAAATGGCATTGTATTAGAAAACCACAGGCTTTGGGCCCGAGGAATGACCCTTCTCTTATACAGTCCTATCCACGCCTCAACAGCCCTCTCGTAGCTCGATGGATCTCAGCTGAACCGTCGCTGAGCCAGAGCTTTCCCCGACCACCCAAGCCCAAGTGCTGTCCCTGGCTGTTCCTCCTCGGAGCATCTCTTTTTTCCTCCTTCATCGGACTTACTACAACGTGTACTCATAGGCTCATTTGAGTATCTTCCTTATTTTCTCCACTAAAATGTGAACCCAGCTACTGGGGAGGCTGAGGCACGAGAATCGCTTGAACCCAGGAGGCGGAGGTTGCAGTGAGCCGAGATAGCGCCACTGCACTCCAGCCTAGGCAACAGAGCAAGACTCCATCTCAGAAAAGAAAATAAAATAAAACTCTGGAATGCTATAAAAGAAACCAATAGTAATGGTTAAGGGTAGGACCTGGGCAGGTGGGGACAGAGGAGCAAGGGAACGTTGCAAACTTTCCAACTGTCTTGCTCCATGCCTAACACCAAGTAAATCTTTAGTAAATTCAGTAAATTAAGTACATCTGTTGATGAATTTGATTAACCAATGATCTTGAAATCAACACATTGGACAAGCAACAGGTTGCAAATGTGCATTGAAGACGGATGAAAGCACACACTGAACAGGGCCTGCTCCAGTGAACCGTCATCTGCCTGTATCTTTCCTGTTCCAGTTCAAGACCAGTCCGGATACTTGGGCCTTGTTTGGTTTTGCTCCTCTTGGGAAATGTCAGTTCATTGGTCATTACAAGGATAATAGGAGTTACTTCCCGACTGCATGAAAAGTACGTAGAAAAAGCCTGGCACAGAGAGAGAAGCCAATGAGCAGCAGGAATGATGATCACAGGTAATCTTCCCTTCCGCCACCACTCACCTCAGACGACCTGGTGAGCCTTGTATCACAGGCTGGGTATTTCCCCCGGAATTCATATGTTGAAGCTCTAAACCGCAGTACACAGAACGTGACTGTATTTGGAGAGAGGGCCTTCTCTCCAAACAGAAGGAGGTAATTAAGGTAAAAGGAGGCCATCAGTGTGGGTTCTAATGCGATATGACTGGTCCTGATGAGAAGTGGAGATTCGGATACTGAAACACACAGAAGGAAGCCCGTGTGAGGACACAGAGGAGGGAGGCTGTCTGCAGCCAAGGAGAGTGGCATCAGGAGAAACCAGCCCTGCCAACACCTTGGCCTCCAACTTTCAGCTTCCAGAACTGGAGATCTGCGTTGTTCAAGCCTGCCAGTCAGTGGCACTTTGTCATGGCAGCCCAAGTCGACTAGCACACCTTGCCTAGCCCTGCATTTCTCAAATATATTCAACTACAGAAGTTGTCTTGATTGTTTAGAGCCAAGCCCTGTGCTGCTACAAGGGCATAGGCTGAACCAACCACCTGTCAAGGAGTTTCCATGACGAAGCAGGTGAAGGAGACTTCACCCTAGGGCGAGACCCTTGACCCTGTCCCCAGGAATTCTCCAGCTACACCTGGGGATGGAAGCTGCCTCCCTGACTACTCTTTTGTTGTTGTGAAGTGCTGGGGTCTCACTCTGTCACTCAGGTTGGAGTGCAGTGGTACCATTACAGCTCACTGCAGCCTCGAATTCCTGAGCTCAAGTGATCCTCCTGCCTAAGCCTCCTGATTAACTAGGACTGGAAGTGCACACTACCACACTGGCTAATTTCTTTGCTCTTTTGCAGAGATGAAGGTCTTGTTATGTTACCCAGGCTGGTATCAGATTCCTGACCTCAAGCGATCCTCCCACCTCAGCCTCCCAAAGTGCCGGGATTACAGGTGTGAGCCACAGACCCGCTCCCCTGGCAGAGCTTTGAAAACGCATGCAGAGCTGTAGCAGCCGCGGCCCTGCCAGAGAGAGAAGCCCCCATTTTGGGGTTGTTGGGGAGCAGGCATCTGCCAGAGATTCCACCTGGTTCTGGCACGTCTCAGGCCAGCCTGGGCTTCGATTCCTTGGCTAACCCTGCTTCCTTCCTTGCTGAAGTAAATGAGATGTGGTTTATGACGTTTGCAGCTCAGACGGTCTTGACTAATATAGTCTCTATGGAGTCAGATCCTGATGTTCAGCTACTCTTGGTCAGTGGTTGCTGCCGGGGCTCTGGCCTGCCTCTCACTCCTGTAGTAGTGCAGGGCACTGCAGGGTCACTCTGGGCCTCTGGGACAAGCCTCTAAGCAGAGTGGGTGGCTCTGCTGAGCAGCGTCTGCTGACACCAACCAGACCACTTCTTCCGATGGCGGTGACAGCTGCTCAGCTCTCACCAGGAGCCTGGGGCTCCCTCCCATGGGCTTTCCTGGCACCGTCTGCCGATGGTTATTTAAGCACATATCACAAGGGTGGGTGTGTATCTGTCTTAGGTTATGATCTGAGAGACCAAAATAGACATCCCTGGCCTGGTGCGATGGCTCACGCCTGTAATCCCAGCATTTTGGGAAGCCAAGGTGAGAGGATACCTTGAGCCTAGGAATTCAAGACCAGCCTGGGCAACATAGGGAGACCACACACACACATACATACACATACACACACACACACACACACACATACACATACATACACACACATACACACACACACAAGCCAGGTGTGATGGTGCACGCCTGTAGTCCCAGCTACTTGGGAGGCTGATGTAGGAGGATCACTTGAACCCAGGAGGTCAAGGCTGCAGTGAGCCATGATCACACCACTACAGTCCAGCATGGGTGACAGAGCAAGACCCTATCTCGAAAACAAAACAAAACAAAACACCAAAATAGACACTCCTTTATCAACTAAGACAGACCCTAAGGTTAAGGAGCCAAAACTTACCGACGGGGGACTCAAAGTTTGGCAGCCATGGCAACTTCTTAAATTCCTGCAGGAAAAACCACACTGTTGCTAAACTCCCTAACAATAGGAGCTAACCAGCAAATTATCCTAACTCTGATTTACAACCCAGACCACTAAAACTTCGACTGGACAGAGGACCATCTTACACACGCTCTTTCCTGATGAGCAACTGCACACCTCCAGCCAGTTGCAGTCAGATCTAGAGACTGCACACAAACTGTCTGTGTCTTCTAGGTTACCTTTGACATAAAGAGCCCAATTCCACCTCATTTTAATCTAGGCCTCCCACAAAGTGAACATGGGATGTATGTTACATATGTGTTTACCTATTGCACACACACTGAGCTCCCCTCATAAATATGTATCGATTTTGCCCCAGACTTGCTGAATATGCATGACTCTATTGTGTAACACAGACCCTGTGAAGCGTAACACCCATCCTGCCCTTTCCCTCTTTGAAGAGAGAGCACCTTCAGTCCCAGCTGGAGACCATCGCTTCCTGGTTTGCAAACTAATGTCAACCAACAAAGCTCTCCCTTTTTTTTTTTTTTTTTTTTTTTGAGATGGAGTCTTGCTCTTGTCACCCAGGCTGGAGTGTAGTGGCTCGGTATTGGCTCGCTGAAACCTCCACCTCCTAAGTTCAAGCAATTCTCCTGCCTCAGCCTCCCAAGTAGCTGGGACTACAGGCGCCTACCACCACGCCTAGCTAATTTTTTATTTTTGTTTTTTTAGGAGAGACGGAGTTTCGTCATGTTGGCTAGGCTAGTCTCGAATTCCTGACCTCAGGTGATCTGCGGGCCTTGGCCGCCCAAAGGGCTGGGATTACAGGCGTGAGCCACTGTGCCCGGCCAGCATTGACTCTTCTACAGCTTGCTATTGCAGAGTCAAAAAGAATCCAGACCAAGATCCAACCTCCACAGCAGCTCAGAGTTAAAATGCCATTACTCCAGCAGCACTTACTGGAGCGGAACAGAACTGGCTGCTCACTGGCCCTTGGCCTCGCTGCCCTTGCTGGGGGGGACCAAGGTCGGCCTGGGCCTGCATATTGAAGGCGCCAGCCAGACAGGGCAAGCAGGGGAATTGCAGTTCATAAGGTCATCAGCTCCAGGGGCCACTATTATAGCCATGGATTGGCTGTGATTCTCATCCCAGGTTGGCGGGAAGCGGTGGGTCCTCACTGGGCTTTTGCGGGCACGGTTGGCCGGGGCTCAGAGCTAGACACAAGGCTTTCTGGGCCAGCTCTGAACCTCAGTTAGCTGTGTGCCTTTTAGGGAAGGTCCCTAACCTGAGCTTCGTTTAATCGTCTGTTAGGAGAGAACAATAATTATTACATTAATAAGACACTGTTTAGGGAATGAAAAATTCTGTGTGGGTTAAAATGTTTAATTCTAAACCTTAAATGGTTGTTTTTGGTTCATTTGCTCATTTGGGTTGCTTAACTCCAATCTGTTGGTCCTCCTCCCCTTCTACTCTTATTGTCTGACCCTCTTAGGTTTCTCCAAAACCTTTGCTCGCTCTCATTCCTCGCAGCTCACACAGGCTATGCTATCGTGAACCCCTACTTTTCTGTTGTTCATTCTTTTTCTTTTACATTCCTAGTTCTCTGCGTCCCTTGAGCCTCCCCTAATTGTATACTTCTTCTTCCATTTATCGTGTGATCTCTCGTCCCGGAGCTGGGAAATTGTGCACCTAGTAGTGAGCTGGCTCATTTCAGGGGCGCCGATGCATGGGCTGAGTCACTTTGGTTTTTTTTGTTGGTTTGTGTTTTTGATACGGAGGGCGGTCTCCACTCTGTGCCAGGCTTGCAGTGCAGTGGCGCGATCTCGGGTCACTGGCAACTCTGCCTCCCGGGTTCAAGGGATTTTCCTGCCTCGGCTCCTAAGTAGGATGGGTATTACAGGTACACACCACCATGCCCTGGGGCTAATTTTGTATTTTAGTATGAGACGGGGTTCCACCATGGTTGGCCAGGACCGGCTCGAACTACTGGGACCTCAATGGTGATCAACCACTCGGCCTCCCAAGGCTGGGATACAGGCTGAGCCACTACCGGCCCGGGCCTTAATTTTTTTTTTTTTTTTTTTGAGACAGTGTCTCGCTCTGGATCGCCGGCTTGTAAGTGCAGTGGTGTGCAATTCTCGGCTCACTGCAGCTCGCCTCCGGGTTCACGCCCATTCTCCTTGCTCCTTAGCCTCCTGAGCAGTGGGCGGTACTAACAGCGGCGGCCCGCCAGCCGCGGGCCCGGCTAATTTTTTGTATTTTAGTTAGAACAGGGTTTCAGCCGTGTCTCGATCTATCTGGACCTTTTGTGATCGGCCGCCTCGGCCTCCAAAAGTGGCTTGGGATTAAGGCGTTGAGCCACCGGCGGCGGCCACACCGTGCCTATTTTGTATTTTTTGAGTTAAGGAGGATAGGGTTCTGGCTATGGTTGGCCAGGTTGGTCTCGAACCCCTTGACTCAGGTGACTGACGCCACGTTGGGCCTCCCAAAAGTGGCTGGGCATTACAGGGCCTGAGGCCACGCGCGCCCAGCCCCGAAGTCATGTTGGTGGTCGGCCAACCCAAGTCAAAGGATGAGACCTTAATAGAGCGAGGACAGACGCATCTACTGTCACCGGTTAATGTAAGAACAGCTCAAGGTCTTCCATCACCACCGTTAAACTGTCAGGATCAGCACCATTCATGGCTCCCAATTGGTGGGCTCTCATGTTCCAGAGGTAGGGCTAGGCACTTACATGCATTATTTTAATATTTCATTTTCACAGTAGCTCTGTGAGGTTGATGGCCTAGTCTGGACAGGAAGAGCTGTGGGTATCGACAAGGCTGTGCTTACAGTACCTCAGTGAAGCACAGCACTTGTGCATCCCAGCAAAACTCAGAGCGACCCATTTCTCACCTCAGTAGCTGGCATCTGTGTGCCAGCGGCCTGCCTCCTTCTCTGGGGCCCCAGTTTGCTCCCGAAACTCACCCAGCTTGCTGACAGGGGACTGTGCAGGCTGCTGCTGTAATCTGGTGGTGGGCTCTCATCAGACTGCCACAGACGATCGCCCTGAGGCTTGGATGTGGAGGTTGTCCAAGCAGAAGGCTGGCAATATTCCCACAGCCCAGACGTGCTGAGGCAGCATACATGAGTCAGGCCGTGGCTGCTGCAGCCACGTTGTGGCTTTGTGCTGTGGTCGTGTGCGGAGCAGAGCAGCCACTCACCCATCCACCGACTCTCCAAATTGCTTCTTAGCACCTATAATTCCAGTTCTCCTGGGAAAAGCCCTGCAAGACGCAGGCTTTCCCCTACCCTGTTCTGCTGATTCCTTTTGGTCGATTTCCCAGTATGAGATCCAGTATTATTCCTTTTGAAATTGCATTCCCTGCTGTTTTCCCACATTGAGAGCGCAACTAAGAGGCACTTTGTTAAGAATCTGCTTCTAGGTGCTCTTGGACCAAGTTTAAGTTCTCTGTCCACTCTAGCAGGGCCCGTCTACTCCCAGGGCATCTGTCTGAAGCGGGGCCTCCTGGCCAAATCCTACCAGCCAAGACCTGGATCTCCCAGAGCTCAGAAAGCTCCCACTTGCAGGACCCCTTGGCTTGCCTTCCTGCCTCCTTTCTCTCCCTTTGTCCCCTAGTCTCCAGATGAGAAGACACAGGATGACCCTTGTCCCAAGAAGGCCTTTACTTGCGCTGTGGGCACAGAGGTCTTTCTTCCCTCTCTAAACACAAAGCAGTCACTGTGCTCTGCCTTGCAGAGGAAAAATGCAAATGGTGCTCTGGGTGTGGCCAAGTTCCTTGGGCCTCAAGTGCTGGCCTGCATTCTTTATGGGGCAGCCTTTGTTTTCCCTTCCTGCAGGCTGGGCCTGAACTCTGAAGATTACTTAAAACTCATACTATGCCAGGACATGGACATCACAATAAACTAGGTAAAGAGTGTCAACTCAAAGGCTATTTAAGATTAATTGCACACAAGAAAACTTGAAATGCTCTGAAAGCTTTTGAACCATAAATGAAAGAAAAGTTCATCACCATGTCCTGAAGCTTGAAAACAACCCTAAGAATCTACAAGACTAACAACGAGTTGCAAAGCTGAAACAAACTCTCCTGATCTTTAATAACAAAAACAAGGCGTGATCAATTGTGCGAGAGGAAAGAATTATCTCTCTATTCCCTCTACAGAAATATATTATCGCAGAATTATTCTTTTTGTTGTCCTTTGTTTCATTTTTAATTTTTATTTTTAGAGACAGGGTCTCGTTTGTTTGTCCAGGCTGGAGTGCCGTGGCATGATTATTGCTCACTACAGCCTCGAACTCAGGGGCTGGAGTGATCCTCCAACCTCAGCCTCCCAAGTAGCTAGGACTATAGGTGTGCAGAATCATTCTTATATGAAGAGGGGTATACAGCCAAAAAATGCAGAGGTACTTCGGAAAATTACTAAGCAAAAACATTGCATTATTCTTCTGAGTTTTGTGATATTTGTAGTATTGGTCTTCTAAAACTTTGTAATTTGTTCCAAATAAATTTCTTGTTCTAAATAAATATTCACTTTAGTATTAAATTTTGTATATGTAACTTTATTTTTTCTTTCTTTTTTTTAAAAAAAAATTATTTTTTATTATTATACTTTAAGTTCTAGGGTACATGTGCACAACGTGCAGGTTTGTTACATATGTATACATGTCATGGTTAACTGGTACTAAAACCAGAGATAATAGACCAATGGGGGAAACAGAAACCAGAAAAGGCCTCAGAAAATAATACCAGAGAAATCTAACCAAACTGTCGTTTGATCCTTGAAAACAATCCTGGACAAAAACAAGAAAAAAATGGGAAAAAAGATTTCCCTTATTAATAAAATGGTGGGCTTGGGAAACATGGCCTTAACCATTATGTAAGGAAAGCTTTGAAAACTGGATTTTCCCTTTTCTTACACCTTACACCAAAAAAATTTAAATTCAAGAATTGGATTAAAAGAGACTTAAAACTGTTTAGACCCTAAAACCATAAAAAACCCTAGAAAAGAAAACCTTAGGCCAAAATACCACTTTCCAGGAACATAGGCAATGCGCAAGATCCATTTTCCTGTCTTTAAACAAACACCAAAAAAGCAAAATGGGCACAAAGTCCAAAATTGGACCAAATTGGGGAAATTCTAAATTAAACTAAAAAGAGCGTTTCTGCAACAGCAAAAGAAAACTACCATCAGAGTTGAACAAGCAACCTTAAACAGAAGGGGAAAGAAAAAATTTTTTTTTGCAAAAATCTTACCTGACACATCTTGACAAACCGGCTAAATATCCCAGAACCTACACAAAGAACTCAAACAAATTTAAAAGAAAAAAAAAACAAACAACCCCATTAAAAGGATATTGAACAGACACAATATCTCAAAAGAAGACAATTTTTTTATGCAGCCCAACAGACCCACATTGAAAAATGCTTCATCATCAACTTCCCCGCCCTCAGAAGAAATGCAATCAAAAAAACCAAATTGAGATACCATTCTCACACCAGTTAGAAAAATGGCGGGAATCCATTAAAAAAAGTCAGGAAACAAGGCCGGGCCGCGGTGGGGCCCCTCAAAGCCTGTAATCCCCAGCAACTTTGGGGGGAGGCCGAGGAACCGGGCGGATTCCCCAATGAAAAAGGTCCAGGAAAGAATCGAGAACCATCCTGGCTAACACGGTGGAAACCCTGTTCCCTTCTAACTAAAAAATACCAAAAAACTTAGCCCAGGGCCCGAACGGTGGGCGGCACCTTGTAGGTCCCCCAGCACTCGAGAAGGCTGAAAGGCCAGGAAGAATGGCGTAAACCCGGGAGGCGGGAGGCTTGTAGTGAGCCCGAGATCCGGCCCACTGGCAATCCAAGCCTGGGTGGAACCAGAAGCAAGACTTCTGTCCTAAAAAAAAAAAAAAAAAAAAAAAAAAAGTCCAGGAAAACAACCAGTGCTGAGAGGATGTGGAGAAATAGGAACTCTCTTTACACTGTTGGTGGGACTGTTACATACTAGGTTCAACCATTGTGGAATAGCCAGGGTCGGCCGATTCTCAAGGATCTAGAAAACTGAAATACCATTGACCCAGCCATCCCATCACCTGGGTATATACCAAAGGATTGTAAATCAATGCTGCTATAAACGACACCATTGCCAACATATGTTTATCACGGAACTATGTCAGAAAGCAAAGACTTGGAACCAACGCCCAATGTCATCAATGACTAGACTGGAATAAGAAAGGTGGTACATATGCACCATGGAATACTATGCAGCCATAAACAAGAGAATGAGACTATTCGTGTCTTTGTAGAGCCATGGATGCAGCTGGAAACCATCCATTCTCCAGGGCAAAACTATCACAAGAACAGAA